ACCCTCTCACTCCTATGGATTCAGAAGTTTCCAGTAGGATTTTTGGCTGTTTAAGGAGTAAAAGGGTGTTTGAAAGAACTGCCTAAAAAGTAAGATCATTGTATTCCAGTCAGAATGCAATATCTGCTGTTTGTTATCTGGGTTCCCAATAGTCAAAGCTTTCTGCACTTTTATAATTCACAGAGCAATATTTATGTAGCTATGAATGTAGAAAGGCATCCCAAGAAGCTGAAGTCTTTAAATATATACAAGGACCCAACATAACGAGTACTTCACTGAGAAGTTAGTATGCCACATTCTCCCCTAGGTTAGCAGCCAATGCCGTCATCTGGAGATGCTCAAATTCATGCTGTGACTCAGATTAACAAGTCAGATTTAGTGTGCTACATCTGAAACCACAGTGTTCTCTGATTTTAAACAGAAATTGTTTTCTCAGCAGCTTTTCCTGACAAAAATTGATGCAAAACTAATTTGTTTCTCTGGAGGTTACAGATTCAACATACCAGATTTCTGAAGCAGTTTAACTGAAGAATTCCTTCCGTTCTGATAAAAAAAAAAAATATCCCTCTTGGTTTAAAGTCAGATTGAGTTATAGACCATGTTTTAAGACACTGAAACGTTTCACTGTAGGTCTCCCCCACAACTGGCACACACACGCACACAAAGGAAGAAGCAAAGCACAGAACAAAAGATCAGCACCTTTCTAATTAAGGAAAAGCACAATACCTTAAAATCACTTTTTAGCCTGGCTAGTAAAAAAGACATCTCTTCAGATCCCTCTGATGGTAAGCTATATAGGGTTGTATGAGATTGGGCCTGTCTTAGCATAGCCTTTTTGCGTTGATAGCTAAAAAATACCAGGTAAACCGAGCAAAATGAGATTACACACTTTTAAAACCACAATCCCTTAAACATATAATCCTGGGAAAAGTTATACTAATTTTATCAAGTCCTGAGTATCTCAACAATGAGCTCAAAGTGCTCCTTCCAGGCAGAGGAAGATCTTTCGTATTCATTGTCGTATTTTCAGTGAAAAAAAAAACCAAACAAAACCCTCAACCGATCAGTTCAAGTACTTCCCCAAATCACCTTAAAACTTTGGAAGCAAAATACGTTATAAATACATTTTCCTATCTAACAATCACTGTTTATGAACGTTTGCCACACCGATTCTATGAAGCATTTAAAAATAAGTATTACTGTAGTCACTCACCAAGAGATCTCAAACAGCTCGCTGTATTTACCGACCTTTGTACAAAAGGAAGTTTTATACTTTTGTTCGCTGTGCTTGATGGGATTTGTAGTCTAATTGGCAGCTTTTGCTTGATGGACGTAATTTCCTGTTAAATCATTGTGATGCTGCCATCTAGTGAAACTCAATATTCTCAAAGTGTGATTTTTCTCCTGCACAGAAAAGGACAAAAAAAAGAGAGCAACCAAACCAGAACCAAACCCCCAAATATAACACAAAACACCAGCATTAGCTGTCCATTCTCTCTAAGGAATTCAAGAAATCAACAGGATTCCCACCAAAAAAGGCAACGACCATGTTTTTCCCAAGCAATCTCTCTTTATCAATAATATCTTTATCTATAAGCTATCAAATTCCAAAATAGGACAATACTTGCCTTTTTGTCCTTTTTTTTTATTAAACTGGTGATCTACCTCCTTTTCCTTTTATATCTAGTGGTTTAACTTACATTTGTTAAGGCAGAGTTAATATCATCAGACTGGAAAATTCTAGGACAAACTGATTTATATATAAGGTACACGAGACCTGAAGCTACCCTGAAGTATTCTTAATGAATTTGAAGTCCCACCTGAACATTTGGGTACATTTTCTTCAGAAAAGCCATTTCTGTGGGTAAACTGGGACACAAATTTAATATTGCCAAACTTTGTGTATCTTGTCTTTCTGCTAAACCACGGTATCTTCCTAAAGCTTTATAAATCAGCTCCCCAGTAAAAAAACTTTTACTAGTTTTCCTAAAAGCAGTTAGGGACAGAAGGCTAAACTTTTGCCTACTGAATTCACACAGACTTGTTGCAAAAAGTTCTTATTTTTCAATTCAATCACCAGAAAAAAAATCTCCAAATCTAGAAATGTTCCAAGCAAGCAATAATTAACAAAAATCCCCTTGAAATTATAGACAGATGAGATAAATTTATATATACTCACTTTCTTTCTCCCTTCTAGAAGATCCGTTTAATTCATTTATTAGAACATCAAGGTAGAGGGAATGAAAAAGAAAAATCCTGGCAGCCAAAAGAAATCTTTCAATCCTAGTGTGAAATTGAAAAAAACACCAACCCACCCACCCCAAAACAAAATAAAAAGTCCTCCATGCAACCACCAGCACTTTGTACTTACTGCTGCCAGGAAATAAATTGTTCTTACACACCTGTGGCTGTGATAGGAAAGGAGACAGTGCAGTGCTGAACTCAGGACTCAGTAACAATATTTAGAACCTGGATATTTTTGGCTGGCAGTATCTTTAAAAGCTTCCCAAAATACATTCCAGATCAGAGATTAAGAAATAAATACTTGCAATCTCTTAGTAGTTATGCTAGTAGGTAGTTTTCAGCTATTCAAGGGATATAGATAGTTCTTCATTAAAAATCTCAGAAGTCTCTCCATCATGTTAAATAATCCTTGTGTGACTATTGCAGTGCCAGCAAGAGCTGAATCCCCCAGAACATGTCAATGTAACCATTTGCTTATCAGTTTGGGTAACCCAAAACAGAGAATTTAGCAAAGACTTAGCATCACTGATATCCTTATTTTATAGGAATAAAGCTGATTCTTTTGATGCAGACATCTTTCCTATGTACAACTTAATAATCTTATTCTTAAAAGAGTTGATCTCAGGTTTTGAGTGCCAAAATCCTATTTAGCTGGCAGTAGAGGATATGTGGGAGGGGAAGGGAGGAGGATGTATCTCCTAGACTTCAAACATTTCCTCGAGAGAGACAGACGGTTAGAAAGCAGAATCACACAATTGTAGGAGTTGGAAAGGACATCTGGAGATCACCTAATCCCACCTCCCTGCCAAAGCAGGTTCACCTAGAGATTGCACAAGGCCATATCTGGGCAGGTTTTGAAAAATCTCCAAAGAGACTCCACAACCCCTCTAGGGAGCCTGTTCTAGTGCTCTGTCAGCCTCAAAGTAAAGAAGTTTTTCCTTATGTTTAGGTGGAACTTCCTGTGTTCTTTTGTGCCTATTGCCCATCTTCCTGTCGCTGGGCACCACAGAAAAGAGACCAGTCCCACCCTCTTGACACACCACACCTCCCCTCTCCCCCTCCCCCCCTACTTTTTCAGGTATTGATAAAATCTCTTCCCCAGGCTAAACAGAATAAAGTTTCCCCGATTTTCCCCAAAGATGCTCCAGACCCCTAATCATCTTTGTAGCCCTCTGTTGAATCCTCTCCAGTAGTTCCCCATTTCTCTTGAGCTGGGGAGTCCAGAACTTGACACAGTACTCTAGATGTGGCCTCATTATGGCTGAGTAGAAAGGGAGAAGAACTTCCCTATTTTCAATGCACCCCAGAATACCACTGGCCTTCTTGACCACAAAGGCACACTTGGATTATGGTTAATTTATTGCCTATTAGGACTTCCTGGTCCCACACCACAGAGCTGCTTTCCAGTAGGCCAATGCTTAGCCTGTACTGGGTTCATGGGGGGTTGTTCCTCCCCTTGTGCAGGAACTTACACTTGCTCTTGTTGAACTCGATTAAGTTCCCCTCCACCCAAATTTCCAGGCTGTCCAGTGTTCTTGCCTTTGAGTTTGAGGCAGGTCTCCTCCTTCCTTTGCTTGGTTTCTTACTCCGATCTTGATCTTGGAGGAAAGGGTGCTTGAATATCAACCAGCTCTCTTAGGCCCTCACTCCCTTCTGGAGTCATATTAAACAAAACACCAGTGACATGGACATGGGCAACAGTAAACTTCTGCAGACAGTAACTATTGCAGAAAGCTAAAAGGACACATACAAGAAGTACAAGGATGATGGAAGTGGTGAGACTACTATAAAAGATAGGCTTTAGACACTGAATATTGTCATCAGCATCCTTAGATCATAGCACAAATGAAGTGACCAACAAAAATATTTTTAAATACTTAACACATTAAAGTTTATTGTCAAAAAAAACCAAACATACAAAAAAAAAAAAAATAGGTCTCACAATGCACATAAGCAGGCTAGTAAAATAGTCTGTCTTGTAGCCCTGATCATCCAGTTTATTTTCCACTCACTAGTGTAGCAGAAAAGCATCAGGTCCATTGCTTACTATTAAAAAACTCCAATTCCCAACTGCAGACAGAAACTAAAAGTCTACTGAAAGATGATGCAAAATTACAAAGCTGCTCTTAGTACTATAATTGACTGAGCTGCAGAAGTACTGTAAGAAGTTTTAGAGGAACCTCTGACCACGTGCCCTTTGAACAGAAAATTAGTAACTACTGTTGCTATGTCCAGACTGAGAGGTTAAAATTATGATGAAAATGCAGTTTCTATGAACTTAGAGAAATGATGGTATAAAAGCCATACACTGAGAAACGAATTGTAGTTCTTTACAACTCAACAGCACTCTGAAAAATATAAGCATGGAACACCCAGAAGAGGACCAGTTTAGGAATGACAGAATAAAAAGTTTAAGACTGAGAAGTTTCACAGTAGATCAGTTTGTGATCCATTCCCATTCATATTTTCTTCAACTCATTGTCTTTTTTTTTTTGCCATCCAAAAAGCCCCAAAGTAGATTATTATCAGATCAGCAACTTGCAGGCAACATGACTGCTTTTCCATTTTTGTTCTTGTACTGCAGCTTTTCCAATTGTGGGAAGTAGCAACTCCAAGGCAGCAGAGGATTTTTGCATACCACCAGAGCTCTTCTCAAAATCTGTGGAAAAGGCTGATGGCTTTTGATCTGAAGCAATTATCTTCTGTAGATAATTCTGGCTGTAGCTACTGTAAAGGCAGCTTACAACAGATCACCTTTATTGGGTTGTACACTCAGGGGCTTTATCTTTCTCTGAATTTCCAAACCAGTGCTTAAGATGTTTTCCCGTGGGCTCTATTCCCGCAGGCCGTGTATCTATACAAAAGACAGGAACATCAAAGTAACACTTAAATTTCCCCAGCTAGAGAAGCAGCAGGACTAAATAATTTAACCTTGAAATGTCAACTATCAAAGCTTGCCTGAGGAGCTTGGTGTTGTGAAAAGTTTGTACTATTACCAAGTAGGTCATCACAAAATACATTCTTTCCGGAAGTCTGCCACTAATGCCTTGAAAATCAGTTAACCCTTCAACATGTCTTCTGGGGCCTTCTCAAAGTTTTTACAGGCAAGTGTAATAGTGTAGGCAGTAGCATTACTAAGCTAACAGAGATCACTAGGAGACTTCCCCAGAAGTCACCAGGCCAGAGGTAAGAAACTTTCTGAGTAGGGCTAAGGAACAGTTGTTTTCAAAACAGCTATTACTGCAGCTGGAGCCAAGCAGACTGGCACATCCAACAAAGACTAAAGTCTACTATCTTGAAGAAGTTTAGAAAACAGTTAACCCCCAGTTAACTCTGAATAGTTTTGCCAGAAGTCTGGGCTTAACTAATATAAGGTTAAAAAGCAAAACGCTTTAGAGCATCAGCTATCTAGTAGTGCAATTTGTCAGTCATCAACACTTCCACTGCAGCAAAACGAAGTTTGTACAACCTTCATGGGGTGAAGGATTCATTTATGTATATATACGCTCTACAGAACCTAAATCAGCAGATCAGCAATTCAACAGTCAGCTGACCAATCATTGAGGAAAACCCTTACAAGTTTTAGGTCTAAATACAGAAAGTACAGAGCATTTACTCTTAACTTGCAGACCACCCCTGGTATGTTGCCTCCCAAAATCTTTACAGGCTAATGTCCCTGTGTTACATACCTGTTAGTGTACCCAGGCTTGAATTATCAAAGAAATTTGTTGGACAAGTCAGTGGTGGAGGCTTTGATATGTCTTGAGTCATAGTTTCCTGAGAAACAGGTTCCTTGGCAGGTGAAGGCATTTGCTCTTTAAGGGAATATGACACTGTCTTCCTTGGAGATCTTGGTACCATCTCTCCAGTGTTTTCCCTTGAAGATCGTTCTTTCCATTTTAGGGCTCGCTCTTTCCATTTTCTAAGTTCCTCTTTCAGCTGAAGCTCATTACTAAAAAGAAAAAAAAACAACCACCCCAACAACCAAGCATTTAATTAAGAAAAATCTGAAGTAGTTTAAGTCAGGAAAAAATCCTGACAAAAAGATAGTTCTTGTATTTTCAGGCAACATACCACAGACAGGGCAATGCAAGACCGTATCTGTGTATCTTGCTGTCAATTTTAAAAAATTTTAAGCTAAAATTCTAACATAGAATTTAAGCATATCTTCTAGCATTTAAAAGTCTTATGAAAGCAATTTAAAGTTCAGAAAACAAAGATGTATAAGGAATAAATTACTAGCTTTAAATAACAGTTTGATGTGAAAGAACTTAGAAAATCTAAAATTAGTAGTAATTACTCACATCTGTAGGTCTCCCAGAAAGAAACACTAATTACAAGCATAGTTAAATAGCAACAAATGATTTGACATGTTGCCGATCAGCTTTATACTTACCTTAGTAGAATGTCATTTTGTTTCTTCAGATGGAAGTTCTCTTTCTGTAGCTTAGCTTGTTCAGATTTTAGAACAAGTATTTGTGTGCTCTGCACAATACCACTGCCACCACCACACGTAAGGGGTATTTGGGATTGCTGAGGAGCCTCTTTTTCCATCACCACTAGAAAACAATTTTATACAGATGTAGGTGTTATCTGGACAGTGTTTAAAACCAAGTCAGTATTTTTTTTTTTTTTTTTAGACTATTCCACCCCGTGGTCTTATATGTAAAACCTCACCAGGTTACAAGTCCCATTACAACAGCTGTTCTTTTTTATACACAAACACACCTCCCAGTACTCTCGCTACCAGTTTGATATGAAGAAACTTAAAAGATTCCTTACTGGCTCATTTAGAGTTAAAATAAGTTCTAGGTACGTAATAATTAAGATTAAACTAGCTATTCATATGTGAAGTCAGTCAAGGAAAAATGGGAACATGAGCTACTAGAACTGCAGCTTGTCCCACCACAAGTGCACACATGGCTGGAGAGATAAACAGAAGAACTGCTGTGATTCTAATGCAGCACGTGTGCAGCTAGCATATTGTACTTTCCATATCCTCTTCCAATGCACCCAAATCCTCCTCCCACCCTTTGAAATAAGGGCCATATCTCAATCTGGTCTTTAGCCATATAACCTTAAAACAGAATGTTTAACATTAAAGGAGTTCCTTATATTTATCTTGAATTTACCAGTAACATCTTGCTCTTGCTGTGCTCTTCTAAGTTCTTCTTTTAGCTTTTTTAATTGTTGCTCTTGGTGTTCTGCAAGGGCTTTATAGTTAGCAAGTCTATATGAGGCAGGAAGGGAGGGAGAAAAAACAAACAGAAATCCTCAGTTTAATAATTATTGCAGTTGCAGGAGAGCTAGTTTGATTTTCAAATGGTTATGTTTTATATCTGATAGCTCAAGTTATACATGTAAAACTACATAAGCCCAGTTGTCCACTTAGGTAAAGTGCGAAAACCCAGAAGCTGGACTAGAACTATTCTCTGCATATGCCTTCTCTCCAACTGAACTAGAAAGTCCTTCAGTTACTGCTTTATCCTCACCTTCTTTTGTTAGGACAGTTATTTCACCTATGGATGAACATGGATTAGTTGAGAAATTTTGGTGGGTGTATAGGGAAGGAGTTTTGTAATCAGAGATGCATGGTCTTTTACTTTTTCTGGAATCTACCTATAACAAAAACTTAGGACACCTAAAGCTGATTGCTCCCTTCTTATTCTGTGAGAAAAAAAAAAGGTAGAATGAAGTAGCTTGGAATTATAACAAGGTAAAATTTGAACTTACTTCATATCAAAAGAGTTAGATTGTTTCATTCTTTCCATATCGTATTTTACCAATTGTGTTTTGAGATTATCAATTTCTTCTTTGTACAACTCAGCACCTTTATCTAATTTTGCCTGAAAATAAGATTTAGGACAAAGAAAGGCTTGTTACTTAATGAATTTAACAGTTGCTTACTCTGTATCTTTACTATGACCTGCTATATTCTGCAGGACAAAACTGGGAGCAGCAAATTATTTTGGAGTAAGAGTGCTGACATTATCAACTAGCACCACAGGATAAACTGGTATCCTAATTCTGGTGCATTACACACAATCGTACTTTAGCAAGTTTTGTTGACTTGTTTGCAGGTAAGTCTGGGAAATTTCAACTAGTATGCAAGTCTATGACATAGAAAAAACAGCTCACGCTTCAGTTTCAAAATTTAAGTTTTTTAGACTGTTTCAGAAATGCACCAGGTACAAGTGATACATTTACCTTCTAACATAATAGTACATGTTCTAAAGTTTGCCTCTGAAGGCTGTACTGGTGGAATGGAAAACTACATGCTAGACAGGCGAGGAAAATGTTTTACTTTCAGAACACCATACAGAACAATGAATTTGCTTTAGAGAGCGACATTTCATCTACAGCTGTTCTCAAGCACGTTCTCTGTTCCTTCAAGATCAGTGGAGAAGAGAGAAGTATTTTGCTCATACCTGAAGACTCTGATTCTCTGTTAAGGCAGTTTTGAGGAACTTCTCTGTCTCACTCAGTTTGGCTTGCACTTCAGTAAGCTCACTTGTTGCAGTTTTTTTACTTATCTGTGCTTGTAGCTTGTTTATCCTGTCATCTTTCTCCATGACATTTTTCCTTACTTCACTTATTTCATTTTCCAAATCCTGATTTTTTGTTTCCATAGCCTATTGAGGTATATAATCAGTTATGAGTAGTTATGGGAAGAGATCTAACAGTAACATCACACAGAGTCTTAATAAAACAAAAAAAACCCAAACCACACAAAATCCAAAACTACAGGATCTGTGGCCACTCTTGATGTCCTGTTTTGCATCACCTTTCAGTATTCTAGAATACTCAAGTCTGAGAAAAAAAGTGCTTTGAACAAGGGTAACCGTGTCGGAAAAAAAAAAAAAAAAAAAGAGTACAAAGTGAGTCCTCAGTTCTTAGGATTAAAGACAGAATTTTTCTGCAGCCTCTAGTCTGACACAGTGAATACAATACTTAAAGTACCAAGAGTATCACACCATTAATACTTCAAAACCAAATGGGAATATTTAATGTGGATTTCTAAACTGACACTTATTTGTATACAGAAAAGAGGCAATTAAAATAATCACATTACAAGCAAGAGCTCAAACTTACACTTTGGGAATAAAAAGAAGATACAAAAATAAACCAGACTCTGGGCCTATGTATTGTGTGGTACAGGTTTACAGTTGCCATCAATCTCTCTCTTTTTAGTCTGAAGTACTCTTACTTAGAAAATAAGCATCAAAAGAAGTTTTCCTTCGCAACAAATATCACTACCTTTATATCTTGCTCTGCAGCCTTTAATTTGTTATGAAGCCTGTAGTTTTCTTCTTCTAATGCAAGACTGGCAGAGCCACCAGGGGCCAGTTGTTCTTTAAGAGTGTTCAGTTCCTGAAGCAATTCTTTACTTTTCTCTTTTCTCTGTTTCAATTCACCATCAGCATTTTTACAATAGTTGGCAGTTCTGGCATCCAGCTCTGAAGAAAGTTGAAAGAGTACCTGAAAATGTCGTCATATAGAGAAATTTTAAGTAACTTTTGAATCGGCTAAAAATAAGGTAAGTGAAGAAACAGGAAATATCTTGAACTGTATTAATTTCACATTCCTGTTTCAGAGTCCCATTTGAAGATGAAATTCTTATTAGAAGAATATTATTAGAGATGGAATCACTAATTCAAAAGACTAGTTTCATTTTCAAAAAGGGGGGAGGCAGAAAGGGGCATATGAGAAGGGAATGCAATGCAAATTTACCAGAACTTCTGCATTAACTCGAACATTAACATTACAGAAACAAAGGAACTATATTGTAAAGACTTTTTGAATGTCAGTAACAAAGAAACAATTATTCACAGAAGTTTTTGCTAGAATGTATTAACTGACTAAATTAAGTGAAACCATTTGAGAAAAAACATACAGATCAAACTATTCTAGAAACCCAGATGTTTAACATGCCAGATAAAGGATAACTTGATACTTGTCAGGAAATGACAAGTTTATACTAGATTTTTTCATTCATTTGTCTGGTTAAAGCTTTGTTCCACATAATATGTCTGTTAGGGAATTATTCCAAAAGGACTGCCAACATTGAGAAATCCTGAGGAAGTTAAGACTAGCTACTCACTCTACAGAAGAAAGTTTTTTATAGGTCAAGCTTAACAGGACATAACAGTCACAACATTGCAGGAAGAAGGGTGAAGAGCCTTCATACTTCAGATCTATACTTGTAGAAGGAATAATAGTATGAACAGACCAGGAACTTAAAGATACACTTTCATTAGGAAGACTGTTCCTAATCAGAAAGATTCCCTCTCATAACCTGTTTTTTTGAGAAATGTTAGATACATTTAATCAGGAAAATCAAGTCTCATGAAATCCTGTGCATGGTGCACTTAACCCCGTAAAACACTTGGTCCTCTTTTCCAAAGGGGAAAAGAGGTAAGAAGGAAAGGAGAGGGAAAGGAAGGCTGAATCACCTCTACAATAATTTTCTGACAGTACAGAAGATGTGAGAATATAAATTACAAGTGTTTTAAGAAGATAGCTAAAGTAGTATTGATAAAGTTGGCTTGAAGAAAACAGGCAGCCTTGCAGGCATAAAACCTGGAGAAAGTGATGGTACCAGGCTGCCAAGTTCTTCAAGCCAAGATACGTCATAATTTTGAACTTAGTTCCCAGAATTCAGTCTATATAAAAATTGCAAACAGGAAAACACCCCCCACGTATTTATCACCTAGAAAGTCTTTTACAAAGTAATTTTCCAAGTTTCAATGCATGAGGGAAGAAGTCTTAAAAAAAAAAATCTTCTGCTATTTATTCCTACATGTTACAGTTAAATATGAATACAGTAAATACTGATAATGAATAAATAGCTTTTTTGTGCCTTTTGTTTTCAATCAGGTTGAAGGCATTTACAGAGTGCTTACACAAAATATATTTCTAATTAAAGAAGTTTTAGCCTTACCTTTGCTTTAGGAGTCCAGTAGTTAATGACTTGCAAAAGCTTTTCATTATCTCTCTTTAATTCTTCTTTAAGTTTCTCTGCATCACAGTGACCTCCTGAACAAGCTTCCCAGAACTGTGTTATTTCTTCTCTAGCACTTTCTTCCTGCTCTAACTCTGCCTCTATGCAGAGAAGTTCACTTTCCATTTCTGACACATCTTTGAGAATGCTCTTTAAAAAAAAAAAAAAAGGAATTAAATATGAAAGCAATAGTTAAACTTTTTCCCCCATTAAGTGAAGTCTTAACAGATAAAAGCAACGCCCTTAGATTAGCGCCACAGTACCCTGTGCCATGCAAGTCTCCCTGAAACTTGTTTCAAGTACTACCTCTGCATTGGAGTGGAAACTCTGCAGCACTTCACTGATGATTAACTCTGGAGAGAATATTTCATTCTGGTTCAAAAAAGTCTTCTTGAGATACTGAATGTGAGCTCGTAGCTGATCTTGTTTTCTCTTTTCTTCCAGCAATTCCATTTCATACTTGTGAACAGTAGTATGATACTCTCTTTTCTTTGAGCAAACACGACCAAACAGAAACTGGTAGAAGCACAGGGTATATCTGTGAGTATCCTTTAAAGTGGTAACCTACATTCAGCTAAAATTCTTTATTTATAATGCAATCTATTCTCCCTGTCCACAGATGTGCAGGACAACTAAAACATAACTAAGAAAATCTAGTTCACATATGGTGTATAGCAATAGCATGTAAGACTTTTAGCTGCGGCAGCATTTCTAAAGTATGCTTTTTTTTTGTAGACTCCTAAAAAGGCCAAAAATGTCTAAATGGGTCTAGACAGCCTTCCATGAATCTAGACTTTGAAAAGCTAAGTATTCTTTGACGCATTTATTTTCTCTTAGAAGTGCAAAAGGTGCAGATGATCTACAAGAACAATGTCACTGGGGTGATTTAAAGCTTTATTCTAGTCAACTACTTAAATCTTAAATATCTGTAGATGTCTTTTAACTGGTATGGTTAAAGAAAAAAGAAAAAGATCAAACATGGGAGTTTTATGTGAAGTTGTGAAATAAGGCTCTTTGGAATAGTTTCAAACTTTTTAGCTAGTGGATATTCATAGAGATGACTGTCAATATCATGTCCAGCATACAAAAATACAAGACAAGAACCTCACCCTTCCCCCACACCTGCTGCCCTATTTACTGTGAAATGTTAAGAGGAGTTTTTTGCTGGGGGCCAGCAAAAAAATTAGAAAAATCTCTTAACAGTTCAAGGTAAAGAGGGAAACAAAAAAAACAAAAACAAAAAACCCCCAGCTTTATCATTTACTGTACCTTTTGCATATGATAACAGGAATTCTTTCCCAATTGCCCTTAACTTTTTTTCTGATAATTAGACTCAGATTCTCCACTGAGCTACAAATGGGGGAAGGTCTGCAAGGTCAGAAATTTATCAAAAAACGTGGGTAGTTATGCAGAGTAAATGTGCATCTTCACGTCTCTTTCTCCCATAATAAATTATATACTTAGGGGTCCATAATTGGATTTTTGAAGTACAGAAATTGTCCTAGTTAAAATAGATTATCATTAATGAAATAAAACTGTGCAAAGCAGCTGAACTACAGTCAAAAACTAAGGCTAACTTAATAGTACCACTTTTCCAGCACTAAAGCGTTTACATATGAATTCACAAAACTCAAAGCTAGAGTATGTAGACTCCTAGCTGTTAATATTGAGAGTTTATAAAAGAAAAACCAATACAAACAAAACCAAGCCAAAGCAATATGAAGCATCCATATATTCAACATTTTAAGTTGGTACCTTCAGTTTGTTCAATAAACTCTGGAGATGACCATTTACTTTCTCATTTTCAGTTTCAAGTCTTTTGACTTGTTTACTCTGTTCCAATGAAAGCTGAGTCAGTATCACAGCTACCAGTGCTTTCTGACTATCCAGTCCGTTCTTTAGGTTAAGAGACACTGTAGAGAGACATTCATACCTCTTCCCCATGTTTGGGAATTTCTCAAGAAGCTCCTAAACGCAAGCAAAACAAATTCATGAGGTCACAATAAGGAAAAGAATGATTAGCTATAAATAGAAGCTTAAAATAAACCAGACTCCAGGACTAACCTCACAGTATGCATTGGTTTTACAAGAGAAGAATTAATAACTGTGGCATTTCTGATTTGCCACAGGAATATGACAAAAAAACATTGTCAGGCATAAAAGCAGAGAATTGCTTCGTTTTCCAGAAAATCATTTCACAAGCTCAAATTATTTTCATGACTTAGATTGGCTGGTTGCATCAAGGCCTGTAGATCAGGCCCGAAATGAAGCTGTTCCCTGTTCAAACATTTGCCAGCTGGGCTGCCCTCCTGATGGGCTCTCAAGTTGATCTACTTTGTCCTTTGTTGAAAGAAAGGGATCATAAAAATGTTCTTGCTAGTGCTCTGCCATAAAAAGGGAGATGTGATCAAGTGGTGAGCAGGTTGAGAAATGCAATAGGCTTCGAGGCACTACTCCCACTGCACTGCAACTCAAGTATCACATAGGGACCTAGGTTATAAGGTATGTGTAAAATTTCCAGGGCATATTGCCTCCCTCTTCAGTTCTTAGTTGAAAGAAGCAGGATTCCCAAGTTTAATTCTTTGTCTCACAAAAACATTGGAACTAGCATATGCTCTGCTTCCAACAGGAGCAAGTAACAAGATAACTTGAGAACACTGCACAAGAAAGCGGCAGACAAGATCTTGCCTATTACAAAAGTCAGAAGGGGGATGCACCATTAAAAGGGATCCACTGGTGCTTGCTTCCCTCAGTGTTGGCTCCCTCCTGCTGGTACAGGATAGAAAGCAGGGCGCATGAAGCAAGCTACACCCAACTGAACTTTGCAATTTGGTTCTTCATGCTTTCGGTATTAGCCAAAGCAGCAGATGGGGCTTTTCTAGCATGAAAAGAATGATGGCCAAATCTGCTGCCCAGATCTACAGACCGCAGAACACAATGTCACTCTTTAATGTGTTTAATATATATTCATAAATCCTGGTTTATTTTGGCATTCAGTAGGGTAGCAGTTCTACACACGTGTGAGAAAGCATACTCAGGATAGACGATTAAGAAAAGCTCTTTAAGAATCACACAAGCTTCCTATTTTGAGGAAATAAGCTGTTCAATGAAATTAATATATCTGAAACCAATTTATTTCTGACAGGGATTGATGGAAAGGAGGATTTGTGGGGGGATTTTGCAAAAGCAAAACAGTGAAGCACTTCTACATGACCAGTTATTTCCATTGGGGTGGCTGGACGGTAATGAAGTCAATTGAGATGTCAGCTGAGAAGTTTAACTTTCTCAGAACTAGATGCACAGCTACTGAATGGTAACAGCAAATCAACTGATCTCATGGTTTCCAGCATCTTAGCAAGATGTGCAAAAAATTTTTTACATTATACACAGAAGCAAGGTTTATGCTCCAGAAGAAATGGTATTAAGGTTTTACATGCATCCTTAATATAGGCTGAGAAGTAAGTTTACCTTAATGTTCATGTTTTGTTCCTTCAGGTTCTCATCAACTACCTGCTCTGCATTATCGAGTAGGTTCACCTGAATGGACATGTCATTCAGGTTTCTCTGCTTCAGTTGGTCCAGAGCACATTCCAGTTTTGCATTTGTTTCAACAAACTAAAATAAAAGCACACATACTTAAGTACCATTCAAGAAAAGAAATAAATAATTTACACATGCAACTTGCAACACCAACCATCTCAGATTTTTTTTGCAATTCTGTCTTGAGCTGGTCCCGTTCAGACCTGACATCCTGGAGAAGTTTTTGTAGTTCATCTCTTTCTCTATTCATTGACGATATTTGTTCTTCAAGCTGGAAAGAGCTACTAGCTCTTTCAGCCAATAATTGGTCTTTTTCACATGATACACTGTTTAGCGTTTCAGTTAACTGTCGAATCTAGAGCAAATAATGGAGAAAAAAAAACAGGAATTATGATTTAGTCCCAGCCTGTTTATTCCCTATAAAATACTCAAATTGGTTATGTCAGAGAACAGTTTCCACTAACTCCAAAATTGATGCTAACAGACAGAGAAGTTTAAAAATTTGAAACAACACTTTGGTGTTCTAAATCACTCAGAAAAAGGAATAGCATGACACCTAGAGAACTCCAATCTAGTCAGCTTTATTCTTCAGTAAAGCAAGAGGAAGCAAACAAAAAGCCAGTCAACATGGCATCCACATGACAGGAAAAATTAAATTAAAGATTAGCATAAGAAATGAGCAATGGATTTGTCTTTATATCTGTTCTAGTGAATAGAACACTAACACATTTACTCATTTGAAGCAATCCTTAAGTGTGTTCTTTGATCTCTGGGCAAAGGAAGAGTTTGATAGGTAGAAAGTGAAGTGAAAACTGCAAAAAAGACTTAGCTGGCAAGAGCTAAGTGCAAGACTTTGAGTAACAGATATAGTTTGAAAGTGAGCACCAGTTGGGCTCACACTGTCTACACAGCACCTTTTAAATTCTGCATAAATACATGCACAACTGCTACTATTAACCCTGCATACATTGGATAAGTTGGTGTCTACTCTAATGGAGTGACCAACCCAACTGGTTATGAGGCTGAGTCAAGTTGAAGATGCTATTTTTAAACATCACTGAAGAAACTTTTACAAAATCCTTTGCCCATGTTCATGCTTGTTTAGCACCAAAAAGTGTGTCAAGAATTAAAAATTAGACAGGATTTGTCTTGAGCATAAGTTTAGCATATAAGTGACAAAATATCAGAAAACAGCTACCAGAACTAAAACTCCATACCTTGTTTGTTAGGCTATCCTCCAAAATTTCTGATCTCCTCTGAACCCTTAACAACTGTTCTTCCCTCTCTTCAGCTTTAATTTTCTCATTGCTGAGGAGTTCTTGTTGCCACTTCAATTCCTTTTCAGTTTCAAGAATCTGGAGTAAAAAATACAGCAACAAATATAAAATAAAGCTGAGACAGCATGTGAATCTACCTCATGCACCAGGCCATTCAATATTTCATAGGGGTCAAAACATTTGGCACAAAAAAAGCCTGCTTTAGTTTGAGTACAAGAAATTTCAAGTTTTGTGTTTGAAAGTTTCTCCTTTCATTAAGCAAAGCCTGCCAACTAGTGTACTGATAAATCCTTAGTAATGTGAAGAATCACAATATGCTACAAACACATTTGGACATATTTTCTGCAATCCCTGTTTATATCAATTAGTAACACAAAGTTGTACTCTGAGTAGGGTTCACATCAAGAACTATCTAGAAATTCTCTCAACATGGTTTTATGAGTTGGAATCTTATCAGAGTGCTGTTAAATTATCTTTATTCATAGAACTAGCATTCCCTTCAGTAAACGTGCAAATGTCCAGTGAGATGTTATAGCATGACAATTGATACTCAAAGACAGGAGAGTTGGAAGAAATTGGTAGCAAGAGCAGGAAGATTCTCCTCCCACCAAAGACTTAACTACAGCTATTTTAAGTGATTACTCAACATCTGAGCAATGACTGCTACTCAATGGATACCACCCAACTCACTTGTCTTCACTGTTGTGAAGACATGCCTTATCCAGAAGAGAAATGTCAGAAAGTCAGCTTTAGTTGCAAGACTTTGGAGCTCAACTATGAAACATATTTCATCAAATACATTCAAAAATGCCTAAGTGCTCTGATAATGAAACTCATGTATATTCTCGTTCCTCATTTATTCCTAAATAAAGCAGCCTCAGAAAACATTTTAGAAAGAATTTACATACAACATGAAATACCATTCCACAAGACATAAGTTAGAGAATGCCAATGTTCTTCAGTCTGGGTACATAACATTAATACTAGAAGCTGCATTCAAAAATCTTACAAGAATTAATCATCTTCCTTTAATCAAAGATTAAGTACCTTATCAACACGCTCCTGTAGGTTAATCTCCAGTTTGCTCTTCTCTGCTTGAATACCTTCCAGCATTTCCTGGAGCTGATCTCTCTTCTGTGCCAACAAGTCACACTGTTTCTCCAGCTGTTGAATTTTACTGCTTTCACTCTCAGACTTTTCTTTCCATTCTCCCAGCAGCTGGTGTCTTTCCATAGTTACCAAATTTAAGTCCTCATTCAACTTGACCACCTATTAAAAAAAATATTATAAAACATATAAAATCAATACAACTATTGGCAAAAAGTTGTCTTCTGCTGCCAAATTGTATTACCATGACATCATCTATTGGAGCAATAAACCAGCACAAATTATCATGCATAAAATACCTCTTATTCTAATGAGTCCTTAAGAAGACATTCTCTAAATTATTTCCAAGAGTTTCTTGTATTACTGTACTTGCCTTTTCTTTCAGTTTGTTTATTTCTTCATTTAGTTTTTCTTCAGTGCTTCGCAGTTTCTCTTCTCCATTTGCTAGCATGCTCTTCTGGATATCAACTTGCTCTTTATGCTGCCTTAGTTCTTCCTGTAGACTTTCCATTTCAGTCAGAATTTTTAAGGACTGCAGAACAAGGTATTACACAGATGTTCACTCACCATGACTAAGTTTTGCTTATCAGAAGTTAAGAATGTTAAGTCTAAGCATTTGAATTTCTAGGACAAAACTATTACAACAGCAAGTCTTTTACTTGAGAAAGAAAAAAACAACTCTGTTGTCATTCCTTGCTTCCTAGTTTAAGAATTCCAAAAGGAAAACAGTCTTTAGAAATAGTCTCTATCAGTGGATTTTTGGCCTTTTTTTTTTTTTTTAAGAAGGCAGAAGCAAAGAGGAAAGGGAAATATCTTGGAGACAAAACAGATTATGCAGATGACTTAAAAGAAAAAAAAACACAAAACAAAAAACACAAAACACTACACCTTATTCTTGTGGCTATTGCCAGCATTTACATGAACAATTTGTCCAGTTTTTTTAGTAGCAAGATGTAAATCTAAAATTAAGATTTGATAATGCTAGCTTGCCAATTTGAGTTTATTTTCTACCTATGTTTTGCTAATATTCACATCAAAGCTCTTGCGTTTCTTAAAATAATTTGCAGAGCTTCTCTCGGGAAAAAATATTTACAGGATTTTTTTTAACTTTAGAATTATCATCTTGATTTTTGTTACCTGCGTATCAGAATGAATTTGTATGAAACAGTATGTCCACATAAGCACACTTTTCATGCAAATACTTGGAATATTGAAGTCATTAAACTGCAAGGAAATGACATCAGGAAGGAGAAATAAGATAGATAAACCAGTTTCTTTTCTGGGTTTAACTTTCTCTTCATTAATCCAGAATGAGCTGAAGTGGTAGGAGAATTAAACCTGGATTACCTCTGCTGCTCAGTGCTAGATACAAAAGCACTCACAGTACATGAAACATAAACCAGGAACCTGCAGAGTGTTTGTCCAGCAGGTGGCAGAGAACTGCGCGTAAACCCAGAGCAGCACTAACCAAAAGGGCAGGAGGGGGACAGGGGAATAAAACTGCAAGCAAACAAGATTCCAAAACCTAGACTAGATTAGTAAACCAAATGTTAGTTTACTGCTGCTATGAACAAGTGAAGCGAGAGCAAGAGATACCAAATAGCAGAAGGCTTCATGACCAAAATAACTCAGAGTAGCACAAGCAGCCTTTAAAACAATTATTTAGGAGATTTTATACATACACTCTCCTTGCTTTCCTGACAGTCGGCCTCCAACTGATCTCTTTCTGCTTTACAAGTCTCTAGCATTTGCTGTAGCTCATCTTTCTCTTGATTAAGTAAAGTGATTTTCTCAAGCTGCTGACAGATATGCTCATTCATTGTTCTTTCAACTTGTTCTTTTTCTGCCAGGAGCTTGCCATGTTCAGAAGTAACATGAGTCAGGTTTTCAGTTACTTCAGTGAGCTGAAAGAACAAATAAGAACCAGTATTACTATTTCTATTCATCTCTAGGATGGGTAGAATTAATTTCATAGTTGGTTTGGAAAAAAAAAAAGAGTAACATTAAAATTTATTAAATTTTATTGTCCCAGTAATCAGGTTCTAATTTAAGAAGAGTGTTATTGGATCATGTTTCACAAGCACTATCTGTACATACAAGTTGTTGTAATTGGGTTGTGGGTTGCAGGTCAAATTGCATTCGATCACCTTTTTTTACTGCCTTTGTTTCTACGGAATTCTTTCAAGAAGCAGTACAGGGTAAAAAATGGAAGGTAAAAACTTTTAATTGAGTCTCATTATTACATTTATTGAAGCCTTAAAACCTGAAGCCTGCAGAGGACACGGGTTGCCAATCCTGACAGAGTTTTTAGTTTATTTGACAAAACTACATCTGACCTTCTTCTGCAGTTCATCGGTTGTTTCCTTCAACGCCTCCTGTGCTTTCAAGAGCTGATTTTCTTTCTCTGAAATACTTCCTTTCAGGTTCACAATAGTCTCCTGATGTTGTCCGAGAGAGTTATGAGCACATCTCAACTCTTCCTGCATCCCTAAATTCTTTGGACACAATGCAAGGATATTAATGCCCAAATTACAGTTCCAAAATTTAAGACAGAAGATTACTAAAGTTATTCTCCTAAAGGAATAGGACTGTTTTTCTTACCGTGCTAATTGCCTCCTGTATAGTTTGTCTGAGTTGGTCTCTCTCATTTTGGAGATCCTCCAGTTGCATTTTCAGATCATCATCTCCTTTTTCTGTCAGACTGCTCACTTTCTGACAGTCATCCAATTTTGGAGTGAAATCTGTTTTCCCCATGTTGTCAGATTCTCTTTGACATTCATTGGCCTTCACTTCCTCCATTTCCTGCAGCTTCCTTTGTGCCTGGCTCAGCTCTTCTCTCAGAAGCAGCAATTCTTGCTCAACAGATTTTTCTTGAATCTGTGGTATCTATTTTACACAGAGACAGAAGTCAACATATGTTTCTCTTAAAGCTACTTTCCAAATATCTGACCTTTGACAGGTTATGTAAAACAAACTGAAGCAATGTTTTATAGAATTTTGCATTTTCTTCAGAATAAGATTTAATTGAATTCAACATGCAATTCAAGCTTCTTGAAATAAGAGACATGTGCAAGTAAAATTTGAAGTGAAGACTTCAGAAAAAAGATAGCCATAGTTCAGGCCTGATAGGAACAAACCCTAAAGCACAAAACCTGAAACAAAACAATACCCAACAACAATCACCACCACCCACACCAAACTAGAGATTTTATCTGTATTTCTATTCACAATGGTAGATAATAGGGTCAAGACAATTATTTCTTTGTAATTTGTCCACTCTCCCCATAAATACAAAAACATATGTACATCACTTTTTTGAAATATATATATATATGTATCCACAAAGCGAGTGTACATATAGAACACTCAAACGCAATCAGCATATCCAATTACAGAAAATGTTGACTGCAACGTCCCTTTCACTGCTAGGAAAAGTGTCAGTTTTCTCTATGCTTTGAAAAAAATAAAAAAGCAGAATCACCCTTTCCAGGTGGGCAATTTTCAGCTTCAGCTACTTAAAGAATCACATCTCTGTTCAGATTAACTAAAACACCACCATCCTGTACCAAGTTAAAATTCTATCTACAGAAAAATTTGTCGTTCTACTACTCACGCATATACAACTATGGGTAGAATATATTTCAAGTAAACAATAATAATCCTGGTATTTAACAGTCTGCAGTTAAGCAGCAGGACCCTTTTCTCCAGATTGTTTTAAAGATTATTTTCACTTAAGTTTAAATAAGCTTGCCTTCCATTACAGCCTTAGCATAATTACCAGAGTTCCTTCCCCAGACTCTTCTTTTTTCAAATGTAAGCTGTCCAGTTTATTCTGCAATGAACTGTTCTCTTCAAGGGAAAAGATTTGTTCCTTCTGCACTTGAAGCTGATCACTTTCTCTGCAGTTATTTTCTGCTTTTTCCTCAGCAAGCTGGTCTCTCTCTGATGTGATGATTTTTATTTCTTCTGTCATTTCTGATACCTATAAAAATGGAAAGAAATACTTTTTTTGCACATCAATTCAAACTCACAACCAATGCAAAAGTTTTGCTTGATTCACTCTGATACAGTATTTGAAATATCAAACCATTGTAATCTAACTAGAAAAACTCCAGAACTGAGTCTTTGGCCTTTATCACCCGTTTTATTTTAAATGCTAAACTTTTTAGCAGTCTCTTCTGCAATACTGGCCAGAATTTTATCTAGGAAAAGCCTGAGAAGCCAAACAAGAAACACCTGTTGGATTATTTTTACGCATCTGTTCCAAAAGGTGGAAATGCTGAATTGACAGCCATTGACTTACCAGATTTGACAGCTGATATACTTCAAGAAAAATAGCCTCTCACATACTAGAGTCTCCCTCCAGAGCAATCTTGCTGCTGAAGCAACTGTATAACATACAGTCAGTCTTCTCAGCACCCTTCTTTGTGAGTTGTTGAACTGACAGGCACAAAACCAGTGGATCAGCTTTCTGCTCTATGCTGGGAACTGAGCTGCCATGCACAACCATGTAACTTACTTCACCCACACATTTCTCACTGACTGTTATAAACCATTAGCCTCGTTCCTGCCCCTAAGTGACCCTTATCTCTTCTTCCATGTCATCTAGGGCCACCACTCAAATTGACAACCATGGGGCACACTAGTTAAGAAAAGTTTTTTAGAGTGAAATAGTTCAACAACTGGTAAAGACTTGGATCAGGCACTACTACTTTCTCTCCCACTTTCTACCTAAGTCCTAGAAATTTTTGTAAGGACAAGCAGAAGAGACTACTAGCATACTAACTAGGCTTGTTTTCAGTGCTGAAAAATATGTTGGAAGCACTTTTATTTTCAATTACATAACATAATACCCGTATTTCAAGTTCTTTAATGGTTTTCCCCAGAGCCTCTTCAACACGCAGCATCTGAGATTCTTTTTCAGAAATACTTTTTTCCAACTTCTTGACAGTATGCTGGGCTTGCTTGAGAGAACACTGTGCATTTCTCAGTTCTTCATGTGTCAAAATGTTCTTCAGAATAGAAGAAAGAAAATCCACAGAAGAAATTTTAAGTATTTTACAACATTAATAATAAAGACTCCTTGACCAACAACACCCCCCCTTCCCTACTCTCCTATATGTTAATATAGTTTATAAGAGTTCTTACACTCTTCCCCTTAACACATATGGCCCACTTCTATAAAGGCAGAATTCCTACCATTGAAACAGTGTCTTTTATATCCTCTTTGAGTTGGTCTGTCTCAGCTTGGAGAGACTCCTCTTTTTGCTTCAGACAATTTCTTTCCTGGGTTAGAGTTTTTATTTCTTCCTGACATTCAGAAAGCTGCTGAAGAACTGCCTGGATCTCTGAATCCTTGGCCTCCAGTCTCAACTCCATAATCTTCTCTTGCTCTTTTAATTGCTCTATTTTATTTAACTTCTGCTGAGTTTGAATAAAGTCTTCTCTTTCCTCAAGAAGTTTTTTGTGCTCTGCTGTCTTTTCTTCCAGTTCTTTCATTTTGCTAGAGAGCTTTAGTTTGTAAAGGAAAAGACGAGACACTTTCATGGTAATGCAAAGCTGCTTAATGTGTATATGTTCTCACAGAACTTTGTATTAGCTGAGAAAGGATAAGAGATGCTAACTCTCAATAAGAAAGTATGAAGCTTGTTTCACTTTAAGTCTGTGTTTATATTTTTCCCACATGAATTAAGCATCCATTCATGGAACCTACCTGTGGCTTTTCCTTTGCAGAAAGTCTAAGACATAACACCACATATGAAATTGTAGCATAGCTTAGGAATTATCAAACTGGGAGTTATCAAATGTAGCTGTAATATGACAATCTTATCAGTGCAAAAAGCTATGTCAAAAATATGCATCTTTAGTTTCCTTTTTTCTTAAAAGTTTTTTTTTTTTTTTTTTCTTCTTTTCTAATTGCCAATTCATGTAGTGATTCTCTTGGGTTTGAAAGATCTTCTGTTCTAAACAGACTTCAGTTCATAAGGAAACTTTGTTTCTATGACTTTAGATAGAGGAGGATATAGCAGCATATTTAAGAAAGATATTTGCATAATAGAGATACAATTTAATAATGCAACAAGAAGAATTAAAATGTCAAGTACAGAAGGAGAACATATAACCTGGAGCAATATTTCTTTGCCTATGAAGAAAGAACTCATCGAGCTCCACAACCTTGCAACCTTACATACCTGGCATGGAATAAGTAATATCCACTCATGACAGAGGAACTTCAATTATAGTGTTGTCAATTTTTTTTTTTTTTTAATTTAAAATATTTATTCCCTGTGTTTCATCTCTAAAAAGGAACAGGACGACACTGACCTCTAATTTCACTTCATCCAAAGTTGTTTTGGACTCTCGTGCTTCTTCAGATAGAATATTTATTTGGATCTTCATTTGTTCATTGTTTTCTGATGCAGCTAGGTATTTTTGCTCTAGTTCTTCATGGAGCTGTTTAAGTGCTACATACTCGTGATCAGACTTGACATATTTAAGTTGTACATCTGCTAGGATGTCTTTTGATTTTCCAATTTCTTCAGTCATATCATTAAGTCTAATCTCATTATCAGCTGCTTCAGAAAGCAGCTTTTCTCTTTCCAATTTTAATAAGCGTACCTCCTCACATTTTTCATGGATCTGCCAACAGAAAATCAATATTAACAGCATTTTCTAAATCAGCATTTGCCACAGCTGCATAATAAAAAACCATGTTTATATGCAGATATAGGAAATAACATATAGACAAACACCCAGCACAGAACTTTGGGTGTCACTCTGTGAGGAGGGAGCTGTCAAGCAAAAAATCCTTTCAAGAGAAGCAAGACAGACAAGCCCCCTGCAAAACCTTGAAACCTCTCCTTTAACACTTCAAGTGTTCTCTAAATATTTCCTTTTAGTTATGTTTGAGCTAGGATTGAACTAATGCTCCTAGCTATAACTCCTAAACTGAGTATCTAGGTGCATCAATACTTTCTTCATGATACAGAATTTATGAAGTTGTTAACATCTAATTAAGTTTTGTTTACTAATTGAAGTAGACCACTGGAAGGTTTTAGAATTTTTTGCAAAGAATTCATGAGTTTGAGATTATTTGCAAACCAACCTCTAAGGCACATTTACAGCAAACAGTCTGCTAAGCCCTAACCTGCCAGGAAACAGAAGTTTCCTCACAAGTTTTCCACAATTTGCGAGTTAAATCTTTCACGTATCAAGAAGCATTCCTCCTAAGAGGTCTTGAAATTTTCTCTTTGCCCAATTAGACAATAATTCAGCTTTAGAGCAGTAAACCAGGTTCAAACATCTTTATACATTTGCACACAAGTATTAGTAGTGACCAAGGCAAATAGGCAGACAAATATTGGTCTAGAAATTACTGATTAATCAAACATATTTGAGAAACAGTAATTTAATGGCTTTAGTTGTATAAAGCCAAAAGCTGTCTTGACTCAACCTGGTGTCCTGGTTTGGGGTAAATAGAACTGGTTCTGCTCTGTGATTTTACTTTTTAACTAAAGTTCTTATAATTAACTACTCTGAGTTAAAAACGTTTTCATAAACTATCTGACTGTAACAATAATAAGACTTCATATTTAGAACTACTGCCAGGGATTGGTATACAGACCAAGGCCACTGCGAAACTTGAATCCCACATGGAGGAGGGCAGAGAATACCCCGCACCTGCGGGGAGGAGCAGACAGAATAACTGACCCCAAGATTCACCAGTGGGGTATTCCATCCCATAGCCCTCATATCCAGTAACAGCTGAAGAATGAGGAGGGGCAGCCCTTCTGTTCTTATTTTTCTCTTCTGTCTGCTACTACTGGACTATTGACTACTACTACAGTAGACGGCATCTGAGGAGGACTTC